CAGGCGGTCCCGGCGCAGGTGGTTTGTGTGAGTGAGTTACTGTAGTTTTGATATTTACTCTGTTCTGTCCTACAGATCACAGGAGAAGGCATGCAGGCGGTCCCGGCGCAGGTGGTTTCCATCTCGGAGCAGCAGGGCGTGGCGACCGTCCGGTTTGAGAGCGCCGACAAGATGGCGATCAGCTCGGACACGCTTCAGGTTCCACTCACCCGGGTCCAGCCTCCCAAGGCAGAGGTAAGTAAACAACAAGAGTGGTGTTCAAAAAACACACTGGCGACGCTAGAATTATGCCAGTTGTGCAACACAGTTGTGTACACCTTTGAAAGCAGAGGCAAGGCCACAACAAGAGTGGTGTTTAGAAAGACACTGGCAAAGACACATTACACCCGGGTCTAGCCTCCCAAAGCAGAAGTAAGGCCTTGGACTTGTTCTTAGTTCTGAAAAACAACATCATCATGACAACACAGAGTCTGGAGAGTCATGACCTCTTTCCAGGCACTGCTGTTGGATCAGCTGTCCATATTATAATTTTCGTACTGATGTACAAGTAATCTGTGTAATAATACACAGTCTCACTCCTACTCATGACCATCCCCCCTCTACCTCTAACCCAGGCACTACCACTGGACCAGTTGTCAATGACAGAGAAGGTTATCGAAGCCCAGAAAGCCCTGCTGGTTCCACAGCCAGGACAGTGTGTGCCGGCTATCCAGGCTCCACTTCCTACAGGCACCGATGGCAGCTCCGCACTCATGGCAGCTGTCAGGGTCATGGCAGAGATCAGGACCAGGTGGGTACAACAGTCAGGGGTTCTTTGTCCCACAGGACCAGGTGGGTACAACAGTCAGGGGTTCTAGTCCCACGGGACCAGGTGGGTCAGGGGTTCTAGTCCCACAGGTGAGGTACATGTAGTGTGTGGGTACAACAGTCAGGGGTTCTAGTCCCAGTGGACCAGGTGGGTACAACAATTAGAATCATCCTGATTGTTATGTATGGAGATGGCAAAGCTAAACCTGTGTCCAGTGGTTCTGAATGTTGTTGTTTTTACTATATAATAGTAATCCTCGTCAGAGGTGAAGCATGATATCATGCTTTTTTGAATGTGAAGTAAGGTAATGTAATCATTATAATGTATCCTGCAGGTCGTGTATGGTGTTAGCGACCCACCTGGGTGACCGGAGCTTTGCGGCCAGGTTTGTGGAGAACTCCGCGTCAGTCCTGAACATCCTCCGCATCATGGCCGACGAGTTCACGGCAGGTCAGTCAGCAGCGCCCCCTGTCATGCCTGTTGGTGCTGCAGTTTGTAACATTACTTTGCAGTCTACACTTCATACATATAAAATGTTTATTTTTTAACAAGTGCTAATACTATATAGTCTGGTAGAAATCCTGCAAGACTAGTAGAAGTTGTATCTCCCCATTGTGCTGGGATAGGGTTAGGGCTGATGTTTATTGTTGATATTGATGTTTAGTGTTGATATTTATTGTTGTTAATTGTTGATGTTTGTTTCCTGTAGGAGAAAGACTTCCTGCTGTTGAGGCCCAGTGTGAGAGGCTGGGATGCGCATGTTGTACAGGGACTGTGCGCGCCCCCCTCCCCCACCCTCTGAGGGGCCAGGCAGACAGGTAACACAAAAAACAAACAAACAAACAAACAAACAAACATTCTACCAGGCAGACAGGTAACACAAACATCACAAAAACAAACGAACAAACAAACATTCTACCAGGCAGACAGGCAACACACAAGCATCACAAAAACAAACGAACAAACAAACAAACAAACATTCTACCAGGCAGACAGGTAACACAAACATCACACAAACAAACAAACAAACAAACAAACAAACAAACAAACATTCTACCAGGCAGACAGGTAACACAAACATCACA